CAATACAATCTTCTATGTCCTGGAAGACTCAGTATTTCAAATAAAACAAATGAATGTTCACCTATTTGCATAGTGAAAAAAATAGAAGTTTGTCATCTAGTAATCAAAGCTGAAAAAGAATAAAAAGCTTCTGGTGTTGTTGCTAGTGCTCAAACAATTAGAATAGTGCTACAAAAACACAATTACTTGTGGCGAACTGCTTGCGAAAAAGCCCTATCTATTGATAAAACATTAGAAAACAAGAAAAATTTGGTATTTAGCTCATAAAATTTGGTCTATGTGCATGTGGCACAACGATCTTTTTAGAGATGAAATAAACGTTGAAGTTGATTGAGTTAAAGTTGATTGAGAAAAAATCAAGTATGTTGAAAAGAAAGCCACATTACTAAATCGACCTAAATTGCTCTACGAATAGAACAAAATATGTTAGTGGTAGTATAGACATCTGGGCCTGTATGAACTATGAAGGTGTCGGTCGTTTCAAAATATTTGATGGAAGGCTTGATCTCTGAGATATTTAGACATATTAGATAGTTATTTGATGCCTTCTATTAACTTTTTCCAAAAAGAATGGGAATCTTTTTGCAAGATATGGCTACATCCTGCTAAGATTTGCAAGCAATTTTTTGAAGAAAACAACATTAAAACCATGTCTTGGCCTACCAATAGTCCAGATCTCAATTACATAGAGAATTAGTGGTCTGGGTTAAACCACAATCTTGATAAAATTGAAATAAACTATCTGAGCCGGCTGAAAAATATGTAACAAAATTACTTAATAATGATCCAAAAGAGATTGCTCAGAATTTAGCGAACTCCATGCCGAATCATACCAGTGAATGCATAAAAACAAAAGGATTGTCAAATAAAGTATTAGTTCTTTTTTTTTTATGTTTTGTAAGTATTTTTTTATTGGGGTTTGTTAATTTTGTTCTTGTGGTTAGTTTACTTTGGCCGAAATTTTTTTTTTGATAAAAATGAACACTTATAATCGAAAGATATAGTCAAGCAAAGCTCTGATGGATTTACTTAACCCTAAAACACTAAAGATTTCTTCAATCTTTGAGAAACTGAGAGACAATCTCATCAGTGTCACTTTTTTTGTAACCTGCATCCTTTTAAGCTGGAGGCACAGATAATTCCGTTCTAAAGCAGTCTCATAACTATCAAAAAAAAGTATAAAGAAGAGATAAAACCATACTAAATAATCAACATTTACTATATTTGAGTCAAACATTTACTATATTTGAGTCAAGACAATACTGTAAATATTATGCGGTAGTGGTGTAGTGGTAGAGAGCCGCGCTCAACTCGTTTCTTCGCGCAGCGGCTTTGTTCAACAAGGTTCGTGTTTCGGAGTTATAGAGTTGAGAGAGGGTTATAGCCACAAATAAGTAGCCTCCTCGTCTGTAGTGGTCTTCTCGGCCTTGAGGAGGTGAATTAAAATAAAAATAAAAAATAAAAAAAAAATAAAAAAAACTTGTTTTAATTTCAATATTTTAGTTTTTAATTATTTTATTTGTTATTACTTTATAACAAATTTATATTGTGGTTAATTGATTTATTTCAATTAAAAAAACTTAGAAAATAATCACTTTTAGTTTATAAAATATTTGATTTCAAACTTATATTCATACTCAAATAACATTATGGATTATTATTAATGGTCAATACTGTATATACATATATATATTGACATATGTATATATATATATATACACATATACACACACATACATATACACACACATATATATATACATATACATATATATACACACATATATACATATATATACACACATATGTAAACATACATATACATATATATATTTACACATATATACATATGTATACACACATATATATACTTACATATACACACACACACACCACACACATGTATATATATACATATATATATATATATATATATATATATATATATATATATATATATATATATATATATATATATATATATATATATATATATATATATATATATATATATATATATATATATATATATATATATACATATATATATATATATATATATATATATATATATATATATATATATATATATATATATATATATATATATATATATATATATATATATATATATATATATATATATATATATATATTTGATGTAAATAATTTTTATTTGTATAAGGTACTTATAACTGAAAACTCTCAGGACAATATATCAAATTTATTCACTGAAAATTCACCACAATACAAAAAATCGCTAATTTTTGTTGGTATTCTTATTGGTATAATAGCATTTATTGGTTTGTGCATCGATTATATAAGATGCTGGAGAAATAATAAAACTCATAACAAACGTAAGTTGTGTATTTATCATTTTCTGATTATTATTTTTATGTTAACATTTATAATTTTTTTGTAATATTACTTGTTATGTATGTGGTTATTCACCGACATTTTAAGGTTGTTAAGTGATATTAGTTATTTTCTGTTTGGTTCCTTGGTTTATGGTCGAATGAAAACGAAAAACATTTTATGCTATATCTGAATTTTTTTTTAAATTATAGCAAAACGTAAAAAATTTAAAAATGTTGCATGAATTTCAAAAATTTTTGGTTTTTAGGTGTTTTACTGCTTACATGATTTTTATTAGTTTTTAGGTTTTATTAAATAATTTTTTAGCAAACTGTACTGATGATATCAATGAAGTAGTCAGCAAATTTTGTACGCAATTTCGCGTTGTTACTGAACAGTTGACAAAGAAGCATCAGCAAGAACAGCTGAGGTTGTACGACCTTAAAAAAAGATATTTCAGAATTGTGTAAATATTTAATCATCACTAATACGATAGTAGTTAATTATAAAAATATCAACTATATTTAGATACTATAGTTGTTATAATGTATACTAGAATTTATTATGTATACAATAAAAGGTTTTTTTTAATGTTTAATATATTAGTTATAAATCTTTTTTATTACCAAATTTATTCATAATGACTATTTCAATAATTTTTTAAATCATTATATTATATATATATATGTATATATATATATATATATATATATATATATATATATATATATATATATATATATATATATATATATATATATATATATATATATATATATATATATATATATATATATATATATATATATATATATATATATATATATATATATGTATATATATATATATATATATATATATATATATATATATATATATATATATATTATATATATATATATATATATATGTATGTATATATATATATATATATATATATATATATATATATATATATATATATATATATATATATATTATACATTGGTAATATTTATATATTTTATATGCAACGGTTATGTCATTATTTGCAAATTTATATTAAAAATGTGTCTGTACTTTTAAAAAGTATTTGTGTATTTTTTGCTGATACTGTTACCTATTACTGAAGTAATTAGACTGAAGAAATCATAACTGTCTGACATAAATTAAATATAACTTCCACCATTTTTTATAGTTTATAGTACCAATTGTTTTTTACAGTTTACATTTTTCACATTCCATAGTACAAAGCAGCAAAATTATTCAGGGTCAAAAAATCTATTACTGGCAAGTTAAAATTTAAACACCTAACCTATTGATTAAACAGCCGTTTTTTAATTTAGCAACTGTGGCGCAGTGGTTAGAGTTCTAGCTCAAAAGCAAGAAGTCCGAGGTTTACGATTTAAACTACTGTAGTAGTTAAAGTTAACTACTGTAAATTGTTTTAGTTAAACTAATTTTACCAAAATGGTAACAATAATATCTTCTCTTTTTAATTTACTAGTTTATATATATGTATATATAAACTATATAACATTCTACTTTATAATTGTTATGATAATATAAAAAACAATTTTTTTTTTTGGTTTTTGATTTGCTATACCGCAAAAAACTTTCCTTCTCATCACATTCGAATATTTAAAGAAATATTTGCTTTTCATCATTTTCTATCAAATTAAATGAAACAAAATAAGTTCTTTAACAAATAGTTGGTGATTATTTAAGTAGAATTTATTAAATCACTTCAAATAATTGTTAATGATTTTATCACTTTGAATGTAGAGGTTTTTCTCTATTTGTGAAGTATTTACTTTTTTGATATATGATTTTAAAAGAAATAAAACTAAAACTCTGTGTTCATCTGTTGAGCTGATCTTTGCTTAAAATTTTGCGATTAGATTCTGGAATTTTACAATTTTACAAAAATTTCACTACTGATAATTTTTCACACTTATCAAGCTCCATGCCGATCGAACCACTAAATGATTTTGGACCTGTTGTTTCTTGGTCTAACTTTTGAAACAAATGACGGAATAACAATTAGTTGAAATGTAACTCTTTTTGAACTTTTCTTTTGCTTTATCATGGTTAAAGAATTTTATAAGACTGAGATAACTGTCATGGTATCCATTTATTAACTGGCCAACTATGTAAAACGTTACTGTGGATATTTAAGTTTTATCAAACATAGGTTTTACTTGCTGTACGAAACTAAACAAAACAAAACTTAACGGTAACATAAAAAAATTAACTGGTTTGTTGTTTGATTTCAAAGCAAGTTTGTAGTTTTCAGAAAAAAAACTTTAAAACATCTCCATAAGTTGAAAGTTTAATTACAGATTACTCTATTGGATGTCCAAACAAAAAGGCAGTTAAGTTAATGCAGGCAACTGTACCACATAAATTTTTCAAAGAATCAATTTTACTAATATCTTTTAAAATATTGTTCTTTTTACTAAAAAAAACATATTTTGTTATGAAACTGTTTATGAGGCTCATACAAGTTTAGGATTTTATTTTTGTAATATATTTGTTTTTTAAGCTTTTTCACTCATTACTCATACAAAACTTAAGAAAAAGTTAAAAAAAAAATTAAAAACAGCTCAGTTAAAATGAAAATTATTAGGAATATTATGGAAAATATATTCCGGATATTTTACCCTACTGATTTTCCGGATTTTTAAAATATGACTTGGATGATTAATGAGAAAATGTAAACGAGTATGTGTAAATATCTAAAAAGCAAACATCTTCAAACTATGTGATGTTAAAACAAAATAAAACATATATCAAGTTTTATCATATATTAAACACACTACAGTTTTATTTTCACTGAAAAACTGCGTTGCAGCAAAATCTCCCTATTATTTGATCTATAGCCGTTTCGTAAAGTCTTTGGTACAAAAGACTTTTATTTCAGAAACAATTCTTTCTGAAGTAGTTTTAAAATTTTCGTCATACAACGGGCCTTTGTGGCTGAGTGGTTAGTTTCTGAAGAAAAGAGCCGTGGTTCAAATACCACTACCACTGGAACCTTATTTTTAATCTTTTCTGATTTTTTTAAAATACAAATTAAAACACTTGAAGTTTTATAAATATTATATTGGAGAAGTGGGGGCAAAACCGCATATGGAGGCACAACCGTTTTTTAACATTTTCCTTTGAAAAATGTTATCTAATAGAGCAAAAGCAATACCACGCGTAGGTAAAATAATTTCCTTCATTTCGCTTACGTCAAAAAGAGTGCCTATTGCGTTTCTGAGAAGTTGTACATAATATTGTTTATTTTAATAAAAATATTATATTTACATCGTATTTATTTAGACTTTCGAGGAATAAGCAATATTTGATTTTAGTGTTAAAGATATGTTATCAGCGTTATTTCATCAAGTGAAAACCATTTTTGATATTAACTAATAAGCTAGCTATAAAACTGAATTCTTTCTAAAAGTTGTTCACTGAGGCAGAACCGCTTAGAGGCACAGGAAGCACAACCGCATACTTAAAACGTTAGGTAATTACGAACAACAATAAATACAATCGTCTTACTTGAATGCGTTTAAGTAAAAAATTGAATAGAAATATTTTTGTTTTGAGATGTTGGAAATTAGATTTCGTATTTTTTTATGTAATTTTTATAAATAAGTTTTTCATTAAAATATAAAGCTAAGAGTACCCCTAACGACTTTTGTGAGGGTGCTGTTGTGCCTCATAATTGGAGCAAAGTTGTTTTTTTCACTAGGTGTAATTTTTGTGTAATAACATTTTCAAAACCGTTAAATTTTTTTCTTAATTGCATCAATTTAAAGCTTAATAATGTGGTTATTAAACAAACTGTTAAAAAAACTAATTTCGTTTTTATTTTCATATAACATTAATCTAAACGTTATGGGGGTGGTTATGCCCCCACTTCCCCTACATAACATATAGTAGTTATAACATAAGATATTATTCACTATAAAAAACGAAAGGAATTAGCTTTTTAAAAAAGCCTAAAATTTCTGAAAACATCAAAACATCAATTTGTTGCGCACATATCATGGTAGAGGTGTTTTTGTTATTAATGGGCTCAGGTAATTAGTCCTAACAAGCGGCGGATGGTCTGAAAAAATATTATGGTCTGAAACTTAATAATGAAAAAATTTAATAAGACAGTCCTGCTACTCCAGAAGGTGTTGCTATGAGGCAAAAAAAAAGAAAAGAAAAACCCGTCGCTAGAAAAAAGTTTAAGGATTTATTCTAACATTTAAAAGTTTTTTTTTTTTTTTTGCTATAAATATTTTGAAAAAATTGAAATTATATTGTGTTAGGCGGCGGATTTGAATTCTCGCAAAACGACACCGATGTCTATCGAATTTATGGATATAATTTTACTGACTCATTTAAAAACTACTTAAAACCCACAAAGAATGCTATCATATACGACAAGGAATTCAACTATAAAGAATTTGAAGAAGCATTTTCCTCTTTAAAAAAAAAGAAAGCACCAGGATTTGATGGAATAACTAATGATTTAGTTATCTTTAATAAAACTAGTTTAAACAGACCTCTGATTCATTTACTTAAGCTCTCAATAACATTTGTGATTTTCCCTGATGTCCTTAAATTAGCAAAAGTAATCCCCAAATTTAAATGTAATGAACATTCGGACATAACCAACTATAGACCTATACCAATACTTTCTGTATTTTCAAAACTCTTCGAACGTCTAATTTATAATAATATAATTTTATATGGAGTCCACCAAGGATCTATCCTTGGTCCACTACTGTTTTTAATTTATATAAATGATTTTTGTAATGCATCTTTAAAACTGAATTCAGTCATGTTTGCTGATGGTCCAAATCTATTTCTTACTAACAGTGATATCAAGAAACTATATGCAGATATGAATATTGAACTAAAAAAAGCAAATAATTGGTTTAGGGCTAACAAACTCTCACTTAACACAGAAAAAACAAATTATATATTATTCCACAAAAAAACACAAGAAGAAAACCTTCCGTTTAAGTTGCTTGACTTTATATTAAATGATAATTTAATATAAAGTCAGTTTTTTCTTAACCAAAAAACAAGCTCGTATTAGATTCTTAACAATTCTTGTTAATGAGAAGTTATCCTGGCTTCCTTTAATAAGATATATTCAATCTAAAATCACTATTTTTGAAATAAATATCTATCAGCATTTAATTTTTATGTATCACTTCAATAGTAAAATCTCTCCTGCAAACTTTAATAACAAGTTTGAAATAAACATAAATGAAAACTATTATCTAAGAGCAAATATAAGTAACACATATAAACTGCATCAAAACTTTAATAAATATACTGAATATAGCATTGCATATCGAGTCTAACTCTTTATTTTATAAAGATCATTGTAAAAAGAAAAGTGTATATTTTATACTGTATATACAAAAACGGTTGTTGACAAGATTTTACGGTCTTCTTTGTTTTACGGACATATTTTTTCTTTCTTGTATATATATATATATATATATATATATTTGTTTGATTATTTATTGTTAAACAGTAAATAAATGTAAATAAAAAGCATAAATTGAGTTTGCCGGGCGTATATTGAACAATAGTGCCGAATAAAAAAAAACAATAAAACTTTTTTTTAACATCCAGAAGTTTTTTTGCTATAAATATATGTTCAGA